CTACAAGCAGCACCCTCAAATTTCAGTGATTTCCTCTCCATGGGAAAGAAGAAATGAACATTCTTTTCACAGAGAACAGAAGCCTTCTCTTTTCCTGGGGAAGAGCACGGATTCCTGCAGGACGGCACAGAAGCCATGACTCAATTTACCCACTACAGCCTCCTACAAGGGGAGAAGCAGAGAACAGGAGAGATGGCAGCCAAGCAGGTAGTTCTGGGTTCACACAGAGGACATCTCTGAGCTCCCTTCTGTAAACAAACGTGATCATGGCCAGGATTATTTTGCAAAGCAAAGCGTTTGCCTCGCCCAGGCATCACGGAGGACTCACCAGCCTGCACCTGGTGTCTGTAACAGCTCAATACGCGAACGTGTCATCTCCCAAATGAACCCATCCTGATGGAAATTGTCCCTACAACCCCTTGGCAGGGTCGTAGTTTGACTATTTCCATCACTTTTTTCCCCCCAAAATCCCTACAGAGAAAGGATCTTCTCTCGCTTGTTCCCTGATCCTGGAACAGCCCAGGTAGGTCTGCATGCACCACAGAGCAGAGAGGGCTGAGCTGACCCTTCAGGATATGTATGTAAGGAAACAATTTCTGCTCAGAAAGAATGGTGAGGCACTGGGATGGGTTGCCCAGGGTGCTGGGAGAGCTTAACTCAGCAGCAGCTGCCTCCAGAGGGATAACAGGGAGTAACTCACTAACCTGCACCCAAGCTTTGACAAAGCAGTCAAAGGGTTTGAGCTCGGGGCCCTGAGGAGCTTCTCCAGCCCTGAGGACAAGTGCTGCTGAGCTGCACTTCCCTGCTGAGGATGGGTGATGGCGATGGGACGGCAGCAGCTGGAGCCAGGAGAGCTGCTTGGAAGGCAGGCAGACGGGAGCAGCCAACCCCACGCGGTGCCCTCGAGCACGGCCAGACTCAGCTTTATCCACAGTCACCCCAGAACTGACCCAGGAGCCCAGCCAGGAGCTGTGGCAGACGGCAAGCACAGAGCCAACACCTCCAGCTGCCTCTCTGCCACCACCACACACGGACAGCAGGAAAGGAACCGGCTCACAGCGAAGGATCACATCACAACCCAAGTGCACCCTCCAACCAGGCCCACTGCCACTCACAAGCACGTTTGGCTGACACACGCCGCAACAACCACATGTTTTCACTTAAATACATGCTTCCTCTCGGGCTCAATTTAGGGAAATCTGTGATTTAGGGCAGAAAATACTGTGATGTCACTGTGAATGCTGGCGATGGCACCGAACCCTCAGCAGGCTGCATTTATTGAGAAGTGAATGCTGAAGACAAATCCCAGGGCTGGGGCTCTCGGGTGCGAGGAGCCAGGAGATGCTAGCAGGAAGGACAGCAGCTGCACTGATGCCTTCCCACCCTGATAGATGTCTGACGTAGAAACTATTTGTCCCTTCCATCCCCAGCACACTTAATGTACACCAGCTTATTAAGAGGCTTATCTAACATATTAAACCCCAAAGTCTCTTTTTCTGAATTGTAACTGAATTCCTATTTCCGGCCAACACAAGGCAGAAGGGAAAAAAACATCACTTCAGCAATGAGAAATATCCTTAAGCATTTTCCAACGTTGCTACACACCTGCAGCCCCCGGGCCCCTCCACCCCATGCAGGGGCAGGATTTGGCAGAGAGGGGTTTCCCAGTAAGCCTCCAGCAGCAGCAGGAGGCAGGGCTGGTTCTCGGGCAGGAACCAGGGCTTCCACCACCTTATAACCAATGCATCCCATCACGATCCCCAGCCCAAATCCATTAGGGTCACCATAAGCCAGCCGGGGCATGCACTGGGCTTGCTGAGCAGTCAGAACTTCAAAGCCTGGTGCTATAAATAAGCACTAATTAAGTTTTGTGCAATGCTTGTTCACACCGGCACGCTGACACCAAGCCACAATGATGCTGGGGACAGAAACCCAGCAGGAGGGCAGCGATGGAGGAGGCACTGCTGACACCCCTGCAGTTGGTGCTCAGCCTCATGCCGCAGAACAACATCTCTCAGTGCCCACCTTCTCCTAAATGATTTCCTCTCCACACGTAGCTGGCACAAAGCTTCACCCTGATGGGGTTTCGTGCAGCAGGGACGCAAAACCCCAAACACTGCTTATAATGGGAATTAAGCCTGGTGGATTCACAGCTCCTTTCCAACAGCTTTAGAAGCCACCGGAGGGAATGTAAAACTTGCTTTAAATGGTTGTGCAGAGCTGGACATGTTGTTTAGCAGCAAAACTTGCGTTCCCAGCCCTGATTTGTTCCCATTTATATATAACACAAGCCCCACAATGCCTGATGCTTCCTCATAAACCATCAGCTTCTGGAATCACGTCCTGGAAAACCCAGGAAATCTGCCCGGTCCCAAAGGCCCAGGAAAAGCAGCAGGCAAGCAAGCAGCTCAGCACGGAGCAGCAGAAGGAGCTCAAAACTCACCTGAGCTCCTGGGCGCCGCTCTGCACAGCACAGCGAGCAGCCGAGCCGTGGCGAAGGATGAGTCAGGAACCTCCACGGAGGTTTAAGACAAACCACAAGGACTTCTTTGCAGAGCAGGGGGAGGCATTCCTTTCCTGCTTTCAGCTGTTTGGTCACTCGGCTCCTTTCCAACTGCCAAATTCACCTCTCCTGCTCCTCACCTCCCCAGGACCGAAAGCCAAGGCTCCCAAACAACGAGCAGCAGGGCACAGCGGCGCAACCCAGGCGCTGCGCTCCCATCACGGAACCGCCGACGTTGACAAACACCCCGACATCACCCGGCCGGCCGCACCACCGCCGCTAAGCCCCGCTAAGCCCCGTCCCTCATCTCAGCGCTCCCCGAGTTCCCCAGGCGCTACGCTCTCAGTGTGAGACTCCCCAAAAGCGGGAAGGCAGGCGGAAGGAGCCGGGGCGAGAGAGCTGCCCGCGCTGTGCCACCCTCCGTCCCGTCCCGTCCCGTCCCGTCCCGTCCCGTCCCGTCCCGTCCCGTC